ATTAAGAAATAAATTTCGAATTATTGGTTGATCAGTAAGACCATATTTAATAATATTTTCATTCGTATTTGGAATAATTTTAACATATTGTAAAGCATAAACAATGAGACCCATAAGTAATTCTTGATGAGAAATTGATCGATTTGTTAACGATTGAAAAAGAAGAGGTATTAATTCAATTTGATAATCAGGTTTTAAACGCATAAAACCCATTTTAATATACATTATAGAAAAATTCTAAAAAGAATACTATTGAATAAAATATCTTCTAAAAGACAAAGTTACATACGGAAGCAAATGGTGAACATTGTGTTGATGTTGTAAATATTTCTAAAAGACTTCTCACTGGAACTTGAATTTCTGATCGAGCTTTAACTCGTTTATTGATATGTATAAAAACTTCAACTGCCTAAGAAAACAACAACAACAACAACCCATTATATAACGAATACTACAGTAGTTTGACGGATGGGAAAATCTTATCTCAAACAATATTTATAACTTATTTAAAAAAATCTTCAATAAGATAAATAGTTTTATTCTGTAAAAACATATATGTAAGTAAATATCGAATTGCATCTAGACAAGGAAGTGAAGATATCCATGATCGTTCAGGATGAAAAACATGCTAATTCCTTCGTTGTTTCTCTATAGTTTGACAATTCTTTAACGAAAACAATATCATGTCTTCTAAATCAATCACAATAAAATGTGTGAGTCTAATACTTTCCGAAACAGTTAAATCATTTCTGTTTTTCGGTTCTTAAGTATGGTCGAAATTGATGAGAAAGTTCCTACGTTTATAAAAATGTTTTTTGACTATGAGAAAGCCTATTCTGCTCTCTCTCTCTTTTTCTCTACATATATATGATCAAATCATGTTGAAAGCTTAATTCAAATTATAAAATTATAACTATTAATGTTTAGAAGTTTCTAAGAAAAATCTTTTTGCTGAACATTTTAATTATTATTTAATAAAAAATATTTTAGTTTTATCGCTTACTTTTTTTCTAAAATCATCTGTTTGTACTTCAATACTTCGAATAAGTATTGGTAAAAATGTTTTAATTATTTCTTGAAATTGATAATCATCACCACAAGAAATCAATTGAATAAAATATCGATTAAGTGAACCTTTGAATAATATATTCATAAATACGTATATATGAGAAATAAAATTCTTACTTATATCAAGTGGATAGATTACATCATCATTCATATTGTCCATAATAAAATTGTTATTTTGTACTTAAAAAAAAACGAGAAAAAAAATGACCGGATTCAATCGCGTGTTTATGATTCATACTTTTTTTTTAACACTTACCAATCGATGACAAGCATTACTTTCTATGCGTTTTTTTATTAAACTAAAATATATTAATTATTATAATCAAAAAAGTTTTCAAAATATTTTAAATGAATTTTGTTTTTAAATTTTGATTTGCAATTTTTAACATATTTTTTGATTGGTAATTGAACGAGAGAACACCAATAATAATAATAAAAATAATAAATAAATGACTGTTGCTCTTGTATCATGTTTTTTCTTTATTCCCTTCTTCTTCTTTTTTTCCTCTTCGTCTATTGTCAAAATATCCTTATTTTTAGATATGGCTCATCGTGAGAATAGAGATCGTCGAACGTTATATTGTGGAAATTTACATGAAAATGTCACCGAAGAAATGTTATTTGAACTTTTTCTTCAAGTAAAATCTTTTTTTTTTTACCAATTTCAAAAAACAGAAAAAAGAATCTCTATTTTTCTTTTGTTTCGTTTATTTTATTAGAGCGGTCCTTTAGAAACGGTAACAATGAAACGTGATGGCCGTCGATCATTTGCTTTTATTACATTTAAACATGAAGAATCCGTTCCATATGCTGAAGCTATTATGGAAAGTGTTTGCTTATTTAATCGTCCATTACGTTTAGCAGCTCGTTCATCAAATAAAGATTTTAGTAATAATCCAAATGAACCTTATACACCTGAAATATATGTCAATGATTCATTATTACATCGTTCATCATCATGGCAATCACCACAATCACAACAACAACAACAACAACAACAACAGCAACAACCATTACCGGTACCACTTTTTTCTAATAATGATATGAGTTATTCACCACAACCACATTATGCAAATGAAGATCGAATGTCAACACCAAGATTTGATCGTCGAAAACAAAATTCTTATCATCCCTATAGTAGAAATGAACAGGATTATCAAAATATGAAATCACGTAATGGAAATTATAATCAACAACGAAGAGGAGGAGGAGGAGGAGCAGGAAGTGGATATAATAATTATTACCGTTAGGATAGAGATATATAAAAATATTCCTATTCATCAATATTTCATATTATTTTGCATGTACATATAGATTTATCTGTTTCTTGTTTTTTTTCTTGTCTTGTGAAAAATTCTTCTTTTTTTGTTTTGTCGAACGATATGGATTGACAAGTCGATGCGAAGAAAAAAAAAAGAACGAGACAGACAATGATGGATGAAAAGCATAAACATAACTATGTGAAGGACAAGATAAATCCTTTATGATTATTAGAAAACAACATTGCTTTATTTCTTCTTTTTTTTTAGATTTTTATTGAAAATGTTATTTTCATTTGGATATATCAGACAGAAAAATGTTTATTAAGTATATGAAGAGAATATCAGATATAGAAGACCAGGAGCTACTTGTTTTTTTTTCTTTTCGTCAGGTAGATAAGATTTTCTTATAAAACATCATCCCTATACACAAACAAAATTTAAATTATTAATTGAATTACGTAGCAGTTTTCGTATCATAACTGCGATCTAGTGATATTATTTGGGAAATAATTGACTGAACAAAAGCAACATTGTTTATGTATATTTATTGGCTTCTATACGGAAATGGATAAAAAATAAAATATAGATTTTCTTTCATCATTTAATTTCAATATTTCATTATTAATAAAGATATAAAAATTTTTTATAAACTTGTTTACCAATGTGTTATATTTTCATCTTTGTTTATTTTTTTAATTTTAGATTAATATAGATAATGTACTATGAGTATCTTTATATGATAGATAAATTTAATCGAAACAACTAACTTGGAAAAATATTGGAATTATTTAGAGAAGAAAAAAAATGAAAATCTGACACGATCAGGAAAATGTTATACCTATAAAACTTTGTCTTATCTCTCAGTTAAATTAGCTCTGCTAATCAATGTACACAAACGATTCGTATGAATAACAAATTTTATTTTTCTCAACAAATCATACTTGAGAAAAAATTAAAACAATAGTTTTCGATGCAAACTTTCGCAGATTTCAATTAATGAACAATATAATCATTATATTTACCATTACAGTTGTTAATGGTAGTCGAGCATGTAACTTCATCCACATCCTTATCTATCAATCTATCTCAATTTATTAAAATATTAATACTACTATGCACAAACTGATAAATGCTTTTTATTAAGATTCGAAAGAAGTATCCTTGAAGCAGATATATCCAGAGTAAACGTTTTTCGTACTCTATACTCTGAACTAGTAGATTTTTCTAAACCGTTATTTATCCTTAGAGTAGGATAATCTGCATAGCTCTATCTTGAAGCATAGTTATGTATAAAAAAAAAGTATTTGTGTCATTTTTTATGAGCGATAACAATCATTAGATTGATTGTATTATTTCTAAAGGGCCATCTTTTATTGTCTAGTCCTGGTGTAGTATAGTCTTTATGAAAAGTATTGATAGATTAAGTAGGATCTAGTTAAAAAAAAATTTTTCATTGAATCTTTTCTTTTGAACATGAGAGACAATAATAAATGAAAACAAGATTATCCGTATAAGATTACTAAAAACCACCTTTTTTTTTCGACTATTTTAGATGTTTGTTGAACGAAATATATTATTTTGGGTAATATGTGCTGAAAATAAATATGTTTAATAAATATATTTTCATTAATTATGATATGAACAAGATTAAATTCATCGACATTGGTAACAATGAACAAAATTTTCTATGTATAAAATATTCAAGCATAAATTGATGTTAAGTAATGGTTTGTTGTAAATTTCAAGATTTATATCAATTAATTTTTGAAAGATGAATCTAGTTTTGAAAAAGAAAAAAAAACCAATTTTGTTCGTTGTGTATATTTATCAATATCAAAGTTGTAAAACAATAGGATATATTAAATGTAATATCTTAAAATATATTTTATCATTATCGTGTCGAAGAACAGATTGAATTATAACAACAAAGGAAAAAAAAAAGACTAAAAACAAATCATTAAGTAATGGAACGAATATTTTAATTCTGGTTCATGTAATCGTAAAAAAAAACTTTCCATTACTGTTATTTGACTTGAAACTAATATAAAAAGTTTCTAATTATTGTTGACAATGAACTTCAAACTGTTTTGTTTTTATGACATTAATATATTTATTGTTCGTCTCAATCTCTATTTATTTTTGTATGATGTTCAAATATCAGTTAACATTCAACTCGAAAGAATTCTAAAACAAATAATATTTATTTTTAAATATATATTTTAACAGACCAATGTATACTGATAGAAAAATATTGTTTAAATGTATTGTCACGTTCATATTATGTATGTATCAGTTGAGTGTTTACTCAATAATTGAAACATACGACCAGAGAAAAAGCGGCACATTGTGATATAGAATTGATATCTCAATGTTGCTGTGAACTCGAATTCCAGTCTAATCAGTTCTTTCAGTGAACGCCGTTGCTAGCCTAATCAATATCCTATGTCGGTAACTCAATGTTCAGTATTTATATCCATCTTGCGTTCTATGCCATTTAAAATTGATACCGATTCTTGTTATTATATACACATTTTCCTATTTTTTAATATCCTAATAGAAGATGTCATGTAAATGCGTTTTTGGTTGTTCCTGTGTAAATATACAAAAATCATTGTAGTTTTTTTTTTCTACTCGTCGTCAGTATAAGAAATATATTTTTAGATATTCTATATGGCAACAATAAATTATAGTGAAAGTATAAATATAGAACGAGAAAAAGCAAATTTATTTTGCTTGATTAAGTAAGTTTGTTTGTTATTCTTGGGCTTTATTTAAAAAAACAACCGGAATTTATTCTTAATTAGATTAACATTGAACGCATTAATTGATCAATCATTATCAGCAACTTCATTACCGGTTCTTGATGATCGCAATGCTGATGTGACGAATTTTATCGTAACACTTGAACGTGTTCTTAGTTTTCGTATGCGAGGTAATAAGAAAAATAAGTAATTGTTGTGATGAAAAAAAAAAAATAATTTTTCTGTTATTTAATAGCAACTTGGTTATCAGAACGACATTATTTTTGGGATTTTATTCGACCAGCATGTATTGGTTCTTGTCGACAATCTAGTAAGTAACATAATCAAGAAGATTATGCTTATTTATTTCGTTTTTTAGTCATCGAACGTGTAGAAGAAATATCAAATACGCGTAGTTTAAAAGAGAAGGTATTATACAAATGTATGATTTGTGTTGTTTTCGTTAAGTGACCAGTGTACAACATTAAAAAGAATCTGACTATTGAAAGAGAAATGAAACTGACAAAAACAATTTTTTCTTTTTCTGACAGTATTCAACTATCAATTTTGTTATTCATTAATGAACACTTTTATTCGAGAGAAACTATCGCATTAAGGAGTCTTTTGTTTTGGTTGAATACCAAAATCATATCCAAAGAAAATAATTCAGTTTTAGCAAATAAATATATATGGTTAGACAACGTTGAGATTTAGACAAATTTAAACAGAGTTCTTGAAAGATTTGAAAGAAAAACAAATCGAAAAAGACAAGAAAAAAGAACTAATGTAAATATTTGTATTACGTCTATTAAAGATGTCTGAAGGTCACTAAATGGAAAAGTTTGATGACTTAGAAGATTGATACGAAGATTTTTGCTTAAGTTGATTGAACTTTAGAGGAAGTGCAGTTTGTTTTGAGACTTGGCAAACATAAGAAAAACAATAAAACATTAGTACTGCGCTGAAAGAAAAGAAAATTTTTAAAATTGGGTCCATCTCATCGATCTCCACTTGGAACATTCCTCTAAGTTATATTCAGCTTTAATTAAAGTCTAGTTGAATCAAAGAAGTCTTAGAGTTCGCGAGTATGCTCATTTGAAATCTGCTTTGTTTTAACAAGCTCCGACCAAAAACAAATAGAACATCTTCAAGGTTATATTTATTTGGGTAGTGTTTTTTATCGAGATATATATTTATCTTTACATTTAACCTTGCTGATAGTTAATATTTTAAATTTGAATATATATGACATTGTTAAATTTTTATTAAGTTATGTTCTAACCAAAAATAATGAAAGATTTTTTTTTGCTTATGAATTCTTTGAATGTTTGCTCTCGAAATTTGATGCTAAAACAATAAGTATGGTCATGTTTGCGTTTATAAAAATGTCTTCAAATATCATTTTCTGTTGTCGATGCAGAAGTCATTTATGCATAAATTAGAATATGAATAATGAAAATGAATACTCAGTCTACTTAAAAATAACAAGTACGTATTCTTAACTTGCAGGGTTTGTAATTAGCAATGCACATAGTAAAAACCTTGGTAGTCATTTTTTTGTGTTCCATCGCTAACGATATTTTTTTTTAATAATAATTAGGCAAAATCAAAGTCTATCTGATTGGGTTTTGCAGAGCAGCTCAATATACATCTCTCACATAATTCTAGAAATAGAAGCATTTTGATTTTGTGAAATCAGATCGCTAATGGATAAGATGGCTCATTTCTTTAAACTAATATTTCCATGGAATAATCATCTATAGTTTAATTTATTTCTGTTACATTCTAGGGTCGAGCATGGATCAAACTTGCATTAATGGAAAAGAAGCTTTCTGAACTTTTAAAACTTGTTATTTCCGATTGTCATCTTGTTCAGTATGTTAGAAATAGTACGAAAAATTTCAAAATCTATAAAATTTTTTCTTTAGAAAATTCTATCACGATGATTCAATTATGACATCATCGCAGGCATTTATTCTATGTGATCAATTAGCTGGACTAAATGCCATTGATTTTAGGTATTTCTTTTTCTTTCATTAGTAATTTTTATTATATAGAAATAATTTTATATTTTTAGTTTTTGTTTTAAACAAGATGGTCCAGTAATCGCTCCTCTACTGTTGAATGACACTGAAATAGATGTGATTGATCTAACACCATTTTTATGTTTTAAATCAAAACAGTAAGAAATTGTTGTTTTTTTTTTTAAATTGAAAACAAGAGAAAATGATTAATTGAATCAAACTTTTCAAAGAATGAAACAAATACTTAATAATCAAAATAGTAATGACGAAAATAAACAATCATCACCAAGTGTAACAAGTAATAATGAATTTAAATCATTAAATTCATTGGAATGTGAAATGATACCATTGAATAAATATAAACTTGAAGTTGAACAACGAGTAAATCTTAATGAAAAACTCCATTAATTAAAATTTTTCTTATTTCTTTGTTAGAAATATTTTGAAGAACTTTTACAACATCGTGATCGAGAATTACAACAAATACAAATTCGTTATGATACATTAAAAGGTGAACGTGAAAGTGAAATAATACAAATGGAAAATATTATACTTGAACTTCAACTTGAATTGTACGTATAAAATAAAATAATTTATTTATATATGTTTTTATTTTTAAAATTTAGACGAGCAGCTCGAGATGAAGCTGATCTTAAACGTAAAAGATCTCAACAATTAAGTTCAACAACACCACCTAAAAGTCTTTCTTATTTGGATAATCGTAAAACAAACTCATCATCATCAACATTAATTACTGATCGTAGTGAAAATGACGATAAGTGAGTATTCTATTTTCAAAATAAAATCACACATTTCATATTCATTAACATCAAATGAGTTGATTTTGAATCGAAAAGATAACATGAACAATAATAATCGTTGTTTATTTTTTAGACAAATACATTCTATTGAAAATTCATGGGCTAGTACAGATAATACAGTGAGTTTTACATTTATTCATTTTGTTTTTTTATTTATCATTGTTATTAAAATTTTTTTGTTTTTTATTATTCTAGAATGTAAATTTACTTATGGAAAATATTGATCAAAATCAATCCAATGATGTTGTCCATCTACCACCTCAATGCTCAAGTCCTTCGACAACCAACACCAATACTGATGATGCTCAAGATAAACTTGCTCATAAGCCATCAACAAATATTGATAATCATAGTAATCAAACATCTACTAAAGTTAAACCAATATCAAGTTCGGAAATGCTTTCATCATCGACATCTCTTTCAATTCCATCGTCATCATCATCATCATCTAATGATGATGATCCAGAACAAGTTCAAAGAGTAACAAGCGGTACTCTCGACGAAAAAAAATTAATTACAAATGAATCTATTCAATTTGAACCTAGTGAAGTAATAACTAAACAAATTCAGTCAATACAAGAAGATAATATAACAGTTTAATTTTCTATTATTCCATTTGTTGATAAATGTTAATATATAATCATTTTCTTTGAACTATTTGTATATATAATTGTAATTGATGTTTTTCTTTCAAATGTATATGAAGTCACAAATGAGCAATGAATGAAAAAAATATATTCTCTTATTTAACTATTCTATTGAAAATACTGTCTATTTTGTGATAAAGCATCTTGTTTTTTTGTTCTATTTTTTGCGTATATTTAAGCTGTAAAAAAAGTCATATCGTACAGGTTTTATTAAAGTTTTCTATTTGATTTCTGGTTTATTGTCATTATTTGTCGTATGTGTAATTGTTGAAGCGTAAAAATAGAAAGGACGATAATCGTTCTTATAAATCATAATCATAATGTATTTAGGTCAAAAAAAAAGACAATACTCATCCTCTATTTGTTTCTTTTTTTATCTTTGATTGCAAGAGAAAACCTATCTATATATAAATATATACACTTTTTGGTTTTATTTTTCATATCATTAGAATAGCACAAAAAAAAAAAAAGAAACGAATTGTTTATAAAAACGAAATCATGTCGACACCATTCGATACAATTGATGCTGCGAATCGCCATTTTGAACAACTTTTTAATGCTGGTAAAATCGATGAATTAGTAGAACTTTATACACCACAAGGAAAACTTTTACCACCTGATAAAAATACATATCAAGGACGTGAAGAAATTAAAAAATTTTGGCAAGGTGCTCGAAATGCTGGTGTTGATAATCTTCATCTAACAACGGGTACAGTTTTAGAAGGTGGACAAGATCGATTAATTGAAACAAGTTCATATAAACATTCATTAGATCAAGGCAATTATCAAGTTATATGGAAACGTGTTACTGCAGGAAAAAATGATTGGCAATTAGACATTGATATTTTTAATTAACTTGTTTTTTTGAAATAACAAAATAACTCTATTTATAAATGATAAGAAAAATTTGATTGTTATTTGTTTTTTTTTTCTTCTTTTGAATAAGAAATATTTCGATATGTATTACCATTTTTGCAGTTTAGTTGTGAAATTAGTGTAAATAATATCACATAGTCAAAATACATATTACGTTTCTTCTCTCTATGAAAATAGAACACGAAAAAAATGACTTCATAGAAATTATTTCATGCTTCGGTGGAAATTTCATAGTAAGAACGAAAAAGAAAAAAAATATTATTTTTATTATGATTGTTTGATGTTGTTTAGTATTCAGTTAGGAATTTCTTCAAGCAATAGTTAAAATCTGTACTTAGCCATAATTAATAAGATTAATTGAAGGATTTGTTAATTTTTTCTCCTATTTGTAGACAGATGGAATTCGGTGCCGATCTAATTGATGATCGTGTATGGCTTGGAAGTCTTGCTGCAATGGAGAATACGATTGCACTTGATAGTCTTCATATTACACATATTTTAACTTTAATTAACACAGAATTACAAATCAATGAAAATGATCATTTCATACGTAAACATATTTGTGTTGAAGATGAAGAAATAACAGATTTGTTAACTGAATTTGATTCATGTTACGATTTTATAGATAAAGCTTTATTAGAAAATCCAAATAATAATGTACTCATACATTGTCTTGCTGGTCAGTTACAGAATATATTCTAGACATTCAATAAATTTTCTTGTCTTATTCTCATTAGGTGTATCTCGTAGTGGTACAATTGCATGTATGTGGTTAATGCGTCGATATAAATTATCAGCTAGTGATGCATTAAAACGATTGAGACTTGCACGACCTTGTGTTACACCAAATATGAGTTTTGCAGCTCAATTATATTTATTCGAACAAATGAACAATCAATTCGATGTTAATCATGGATTATACAAAGAATTTCATTTTGAACGCGCTCGTACTGTTTATATTGATAATGATCCAGAATTTGAGGGAATCGATAAAAAAAATGAACTTCGTCAACAATATCGTAAAGCATTTACCCTACCGTATGGTCATGCTACATGTACTGTAACAGAAACATATATTTGTTGTCAATGTCAAAATGAATTATTTACTAATGCTGATTTATCACGACATTCAGAAGGTGTTGGACAATACGATTGGTTTATGAAATACGGTAATGACAAGTTATTCAAATTTTTAGTCACAGTAGAATGTCATCGTCAGATATTTACTAATTGTCTCGAATGGTTGATGGATCAAATAGATACGCCTGAAAATCCTCACAGTGATTCTATTAAATGTCCCAAATGTTCTGTAATTATAGGATATTATAATCTAAATGGTGCCAAATGTTCATGTGGCAGATGGGTTGTACCAGCATTCCATTTCGATTTAAATAAGATCGAACAAAAAATAGTTACAAAAATTAATATAGAAACAAAAAGTCTACCATCCGAAGAGTAGCTGTTGTCTTTTTTTCTTTTTATAAAATTTTAAAAAGTCAATCAATAAAACAATCTCTAGGTTTTCTTTCGAATAATTAAATCAAGATTATATAACTCCTGTTATATATATGTAAAAAACTTTCTTTTTTTTTTTTACTGTAAATTTGATCATTCATATAAAAGTATGGCTGGCTATAGAAAAAGAAGGACTCAATCACAAAGCAAATATTTAATTAAATATTTGATAATGGCATAACTCACAGTTGATAAAGTGTCTTAATAAACCATTAAACGAATACAATGTTGAATTAGATTGAAAAACATTTAAGAGAATGCCCATTTATGACAATCACATGAACATGGACCAAAAGAGTCCATAAAACCAGGACCAAATCGATCTTGATAAAAGCGACAGTCACGACAATCATCACAATTTGGTTTGTAGCTATTTGATGATGATGATGGTGAATTCGATTTTGATGATTTATCGCGTCCTAAATGATGATTATTGGTAATCTTTAATTAATTCAACTAATTGAAAAGTTTTTATACCAAAAATCAGCTAGCATAGATTTCTTTTTTTTTTAATGTTCTTGATACTCACTTTTTTTTGAATGCTCGCCGTGACTACGTGGTGATCTGCTTCTATGACGTGAGGATCTATCAGATGAATCATCTGAATGTCTTGATGATTTTTTCTTTTTCTTTGAAGATTTCTCAGATGATTTTTTTCTATCTGTGGATTTTTCTGATATTTTATTTGTATGTTCTGGAGATTTATTTGTCTTGTTTAAAGTCTTTTCAATTGAATCATCTTGTTGTGTTAAAGGCTGAAAAATAGAATTATCATCAATTGTTAATGGAGGAAGAACAATTTGAATCTGTTGAAGTTTATTAAGATGTTCTTCCATTGAACGCATATTTTCTGAGAATGTATCAAAATCTTGTTGTGTACCACCTTTTTTTCTAATTAGTTCTTTTAATTTATTATGCATTTCATTAAGTTGTTCTCGTTGTTTATCAGTTGTTTCATCAATAATTTCTCGACGTTTTTTTTCATAAAAAGTATCGACTATTTTATAAGCTGCTTGTTTCCATTCATCAAGTTGTTTAAGACCAGAGTTTTCACCATCATAAAAATTACTAAACCGATTTAATAAAACATTGATTTTATCAACAAATGGGAGAAGTTTTTCATTGCGTTGATTAGCATGTTCATTTAAGTGATCAATACATAAATTTTTTTTACAACACTGACATAAAGCAAGAGACGCTAGCTCACATTTTTCAACAACACACGGTAACGACGATGGTGACGACATTTTTTCTTTGTATGTAGGTAATGAAATGAAACAGGAACAAATATTTATAAAAGAACGAGCAAGGTTTTTTCTTTCATCGCTAGTGAGTAGAAAAGAACGAAAGAAAAAACTGTTTGTTAATAGAACAGCAAGGTAAAAAAAATTGAATTAACAAGACTCATTTGAAAAGAAAAAAAACGAAGAGAAAACTTTTAACTGTTTTTGTGTGTTTTGAACTGTAAATTATATGAACAAACTTGATTTAGGTCAATGAATACAGTCTAGTTCGAATAACGTAATTTTTGATTTTAGTAAAACTGTAGTAGTATTTAATTCAATGGGATTTTCAGACGGAACATTTCGGTTACATTTAGGAAAACCCCAGTTTTTTTTTCCCACTACCTTAAACCAATCATTGCTAATGAAGGCAATTAAAACCGTGGTTCTGTATATCACTATAAAATTCACTACAGCGCAGCTAACTACAGTTCTTCTCATCGTATTAAAAACATAAAAATGCGATTTTGAAGAGTAAATCGTGGTATCAAACACTGCTCCTGCTATAGGTGTTACATATAGTGGTGAAGATAATTCTAATCGTGGTTCAGCACTAGTCGTACTCCCGAAGTCAAGATTTTGAGTGAAATCAAGGCTTGCCGTATGGCGGTATTTCTGAGAAAATTCGCCACTTTTTCGTGGCAAAAATGTATCCAATGTGCATTGTTGTCAATCCTAATTTTGCTTACTACATAAATAACAGGTGAAAAGGTGGATGAAGTCAGCAGTGCATTTGCGTCTTTCAAAACAATAGTCGCCTATAGACCTCTATCAAAAAAGATATTGGCTATGACAAAAAAAGCATCAACTATACGATCGAATATATACCTCTCAAACGATTTCTTTCGTGAAAAACGATACGAAACTATACAAAAAACTACTTGTAAAGCACTGTTTTTTTTTAAGTAATGAATGTAATATATCTTTTAAGTATGCATTTCAAAAGTTGTGCTAATTGAAAAAAATTTTTGTGTTCGATGGAACTAAAATGGGTATATCAGATTATGTCAATTGAAATCCATGTATTTAGATAAGATGCATTACTCTTTGAACTATTGATGGATTATTTGTTCGACACGATTTGGTTTAATCAAATATTAAGAATCTTTATTGAATACCTAATACTAATAATAACATTCAGCAACCAACACTTAATTTCTTAATATTAAATGTTAAAGAATCACTTGATACTTATTATTCAGTGAAAACTTTTCTGTTCAACACTTAATTCACTTAAAACTACGTGATTATCGTGAGACAAAGACCATTTAACTTCGAC